CTCACATCACTCACATCCTTTCCTGTCTCATAAACATGCTGCCTCTAGTCTATTTAGGGGCAAGGGATTGAACTCGTTTCCTAGGGGTAACCTCTCTAGTAAAACAAAGCCATTCTGAGGAGCCTGTGTGGACATCAGGCAGGACTGCATCACATTCTCATCTCATGGATGAAAAAAGCTAAAGCTGATAATACATATATATACACACACACACACATATATATAAAAAATACCCATATATACAAAATATATAGGTATTTTATATATATAGGTGTGCATATATATGGGTCTATATACACATATAGATATATATGGGTATTTTATATATACACCTTTATATATAGGTATTACATATATGTACCTATATACAGGTATTATATATATATACACACACACACGCACCCACAGACACACAAACACATATATATAGACCCCTCCAAGATGGCAGTTGACTGAGCACTCACTATAATCTATTCGATCATCTGTTTTTTTTTTCTACTATTAAAGTAAGATTAATAGGAAATTATTAATGCATTGCTTCCACATTGATCTAAGAAAACCAAGACTTAATGAAGTTAAATAGTTTGCTCATAGTCACTTAATGAATGGGTGAGCGCAGATCTCAATCTAGCTGTGCTAAATTCCTAGATCCAGGTCCTTTCCTCTTTAGTATGCTGTTAACTCTGTGTCCAGTGCATAAACTGCGGTGAGAACTTACCCAAGAAATAGGATAATGACCCTTTGTTTCACGCACCACCCATTTGCTGAGCATCTTTGCTGGGGTGGTTACTAGAAGAAAGCACTAGAAGGGTCTGGCAGAGTGGTTAGATAAACAAATCCTGGAGCCACTATGAGGTTTAAAATCCTGGTTTTACCATCTACTGTCTTCATGGGAGAGCTAGACTATATTACTTAGCCTTTGTGTGCCTTGGTTTCTTCATCTGTAAAATGAAGTTAGTGACAGTATCTCTACCTCAGTTGGGTCTTACGAGGATAAAAAAATTTGGTAAACATAAAGAACTTAAAAGAGTGCCCTACACATAGTGTGACAACAGCACTGGTTTTTATTGTTATGACTGTTGTAAACACAATTGACCTCATCCTTCCCCTTACAGGATCCTAATCTAGTGAAAGAACACAGATGTGAAATAAACAAAACTAAATGTATCATTTTAAATAATACTGTGAAGAGAAAAGTAATGTGAGCAAGATGGCAGAACAGTAGTTTCCAGTGTTCATCCCTTCACAGAAACAGCAATTTGAACAACCATCCATGAAAAATATACCTTCACAATAGCTAAGAAATCCATATGAGCAGTTACAGCACCTGGGTGGAGCATAGAAATAATAAAAGATGCATTGAAAAGGGTAGGGATAACAGTTTCACATCACTCACATCACCCTTCCCCCAAGGCAGCACAGTGCAGCATGAAGAGAGATACCCTTCATGTGGAGGAAGGAGAGTGAAGTAAGCACTCAACATCAGTGTAGATCCTAGTACCAGGTTGGCCTTCACAGACCCATACTACAGGCATGAACACAGTCAACAAAGCCATCCCAGCGTATCTCAGTGCCAGTCTCACCCCCAGGGACCCAGAATCTAGGCCTGTACCCATGGACTCAGGCACCAGGCCAGCCTGCTTAAGAATTCCCGCAGTAAACTTGCCCTCAGACCCTGCCAGTCAGTCCACCCAAAATATCTTGACTGGTGAACAGCTTTCTTGGCCTAAACTAATTTGTAAAGAATAAAAGAGATCTCTACTTCTTAAAATATGTAGACATCAATACAAGACCACAAGGGTTACAAATAGACAAGTAAACATGAATAAAAAACAAACTAAAGCACCAGTTACCAATCCTAAAGACATTGAGACCTATGCATTGTCTGACAAAGAATTCAAAATAATTGTCTTGAAGAAACTCAACTAAAAAAGAACACAAATAACAAAATCAGAAAAAGAATACATGAACAAAGTAGAAGTTCAACAAAGAGATATAAACTATAAAAAAAGACTCAAATAGAAATTCTGGTGGTAAAGCAAAATGACTGAACTGAAAAATTCCATAAGGAACTTCAGCAGCAGACTTGATCAACCAGAAGATGGAATCAATGGGGTCAAAGACAGGCCATTTGAAATGAGTCAGAGGAATAAAAAGAAGAAAAGAATGAAAAAGAAAACCTATGGGACTTATGGGACACCATTAAGTGAACCAAAATACACATTATGGGAACTCAAGAGGAGGAATAAAAGCAGAGGAGAAGGTGATAGAAAGTTTATTTAAAGAAAAAAATACATAGAACTTTCCAAATCTGGAGAGGAAAATAAACATCCAGATCCATGAAGCCCAAATAATTTGTAATTGATTAAACATAAGGAGATCTTCATTGAGACACATTAAAATCAAATTCTTAAAAGTTAAAGATAAAATTACGGGCATCCATCTGAAGGGAAGAATACTCTTCTCCTTGGGCACGGAACTTCCCCCAGTCCCCAGTCAGCGCCAGGTTCTCAGCTACCTATGTCTTATGCAACCCAGGCTTGGCACAGATTCCCAATAACGCAACCTCCTCACTGGACGACAGGCTATGTGAAGACAGAGCTTTCATTTTATGTATCCTTACAACTCCAGTGCAAAGCACAGACATAACATACCATGTGCACTCAATCAGATTTTGTTCAATTAAAGAACAAGTGACTCTCTTTCATTCTCTTGGAGTTGAATACTCAATCGTCCCATCAATGGTTCCAGTGCTCAAGCTGAGAATCTTACACCACAGCCAATGCCCTGAAGAAATTGAGACTGTGCTGGGAAGTCAGACACAAAAAGAAAGAGATGAGGTCCACTCTTGCTGTCAGACTTGAGGAACTAAAAGTCTTTCAAACAGAGGAAGATGACTTTGTGGCAGAAAAACCCACAGAGGAAGTGAATGATGGAATGGAACTTGAGGACAAGTGGAGTTTGAATAATCAGTGGGGTAGTCAATTCGAAGGTTAGGGAAAGCCCCACTCATTTATCCGACAAATCAAGCCCCAGTAGGAGCCTTTAGCCTTCTTGTGAGAGGAACTCTGCAGGCAGGAACTATCAGCCCAGGTTACTGTCAAGGATACAGAGGCTTGGAGTAGTGAGGTGACATTCCTAGGGTCACAGAGCCAGCAACTGTTGGAGCTGAGGTCTGAACCCAGCACTCTCTGAAGCCAGAGCCCACGGATCTCTCAGGCATCCAAGGGAGAAGAAACGATGGGATCAAAGCACAGACGTCAAGGAAAGAAAGTAGTGTTTAAAAGACAAGAAGCGAGACCTGTTTACTAGAACTGATTCCCCACATAAGAGGCTCGGAGGCATTCAGGCTTTATTCCCAGGCTGGAGTGATGTTGCGGTGGATTTAAATGCCCCCTGAGAGGTCTGACCTCAAGCCTGTGGGTGACATGGAGCTACTATTTTTCAGTTGGACAGGGACATGGTCAGAACTGTGCTTTCAGAATTTGGACTTGGCCACTGGAAGAAGAGACAGTTATACTCAAGTTGCCCAACATGGGGTCTGGGATGGGAGAGGTTGAGGGAGGGATGGAAGGAAACAGAGTGGGCACCAACAGGAAGGAAGCAAAGTCGGGAACTTCTGTCTGGAATGGGTCCAGGGAGAAGGAAAACCACTTCTCCTTCCCTGTCTTATGATTGCGAGATTAGTACTTGAGAATTAGGCTGCACAGGCCAGGACTTCCCAAAACTCAGGAGAGAAAGAGCCCAGAGCATGTGGCCCCAATGGAGGCTATAGCTCCAAATCACGTGATCATCAGTCATCTTCTTGCCCACCCTGGAGCCCTTGTTCCCCGTGTACTTTGGGCTCAGACAGGCCCTCAGGGGATACAGCAGTGTCCTTTCCTTCAACATTCAGGGCAAATGAGAGGCAAAGAGATCAATGGAATACAAAAGCGTTACCATAGATAAGGAGTCAGACGCACAGAGAGGTTCAGCCACTTGCCTAATATCCCCTGATAATGCATCCACACAGGTCAGCTTTCTGGGCACAAAGCAAGGCAGCGAAGAGCAAGGAGTGGACCTGGAGGGGCCCATGGAAGCTCCCCAGGACCCGCCACTCCAATGGCCCAGCCCCTGGTAGGTCTCCAGTGCCCTTCACTCTATAGAGACACAGAATCCCCAGGCCTTGACTCTGCAGCAAAGGGCTGCCTGCCTCTCAAGAGAAGGGCAGGGCCCCACGCAGGCAAGTGCTCTGCCTCCGCCCAAAGCTGGGCATGCATCATCACACTCCCGCCTTCCTTCCCCATTCACTCTGCCTTGCCCTGCCTCTATCAGCGGCTCCAAGATGCAAACATCTCGAAATGACCTACTTCTGTGTAGGTCAGCTAACAGGAGTGCTGTCTTAAGAAAAGAGGACCAGCTGATGCCCACTGCAGGCCCAGCCAGCCCCTCCCAGCCTCCCCGCCAGCCCTGCACATGGAGGCCTGGCGGCCAGGAGAAAGAAAGGGCTCCTATCGCTGATTCCTCAGGGCCTCTGATAAGAAATGTCATCCCTTGCTGGGTAATATTACCCAGCCAGATAAAAATCTCTATCAAGCTTAAACATATGGCTGGCTACAGAACACAGAGCCCAGTGGAGAAGGGTAATTTATTTGCTTAAGCTGAACACCCTGGGCAGCCGAGAGAAGTGCCTGAATAAAAAAGAGCCAAATTATAACCTCTCCTGACTTGGCGTGGGGATTTTTCCCTGAGAAGGATGAGACACCTGAGAACAACAGGGGGCCCTCCACACATTTCTCCTGACACAATAAGCACTTTCACCTTCCTCTTGCTTCAAAGGGCACTTTCACTTATGTTATCACATTTAATCCTCACTACAACCTCAAGAGAAGCATTTTTAGCTTCCTTTTACAGATCAGGAAATTGAGATTCAGCAAGGTTAAGTAAAGTGGCCAAGGTCACACAGGCAGCCATGCTGGAGCGAGGACCCAAACCCCAGCAGGTCTGACTCACCAGCCCACCATCAGACGGGTAGGCTGATCCCAGCTTCCGGGGAGGATCGGCTCATACATTAACTTAATCAGCAAAGTCAGATCTGCCTGACTTCACTGACAATGTCAGCTACACGTTGTAATCTTGAAGGTCCATTTCAAGGCTCTCCTCTGTCTCCTTGTTTCTCTGTAGCCTAGAGGATAATGAGAAAGCCATGCAGAGCATAGAAGTTCAAGGAAAAGGCCGGGAGGCCGGGGACAGTACCCAGGAGAGCAGTGAGTGACCTCAGGGCTTAGATTCCAGCCTCATATGCTCAAGGAGTAGCAGGTAGAAGGACATTGTGGAAAGAAAACTCCTCTTTCTGTTCATTCATTCATTCACAAATATTAGTGGAAAGCCTATTGTGTGCCTTCTCTAAGGTTGGCCTTGGAGATACCAATGCAAATGGGCAGGCTAGGACCTGCCTTCATGGAGCGTCTGTCTTCTAGAATTGACTTTCAGGTCAGTAAAGAGACAGTAGCCACAGAGTGTGTTAAATGTGTTTGTGAATGCAGAAGTTCATGTAACTGATCTGGGGTTGGTGGCTGTGCATTAGTGTGTAGCTGTTAGCATATTCCACACACTGTTCTAGGCCCTATTCTTTAAAAAGTCAGTGTTGTTAAGGTTGACATTGCTCTTTGGTAGTTAATACAGCTTCAAGATGGTTACCAATTACTTCATATAGCCACTAATGTTTTTAGATTAATTTTTAATTCACAAATAAAAATTGCACATATTTATAATGTACAACATAAAGTTTCGAATTATGTATACATTGTGGAATGGCTAAGTTGAGTTAATTAACAGATGCATCATCTCACATACTGATTTTTTTTACTAATTTTTTAAACAGCTGTATTGCTGTTCCATTTGATCACAATTTAATCAACCAATCACTAACTAATGAGCATTTAAGCTGAGTCTCATTTTTCTATGTCAAGCAATGTTGTAATGAAGATTGTATTCTCATCATGCATGGGTTTCTGCATGAAAAATTCTTAGAATTCATCCAAAAGCTTGGCTTTTCCTGTGCCCTTCACTGCAGCAGTAGCAAGGTCTCAACAGTGTCCTTTACAAGATAATGGCTCCCATGCGCCCATCCTCTTCAGACCCTGGTGGGGCTCTAGTAAAAGAGTTTTAGTTCTCTTTGGTGAGCAACTGCCACCATTTCCACAAAAGTACACAAGCAAACAAAAATATTTCCCTTCTAGCGGCCAAGAAACCATCTCATCTCTCTTGTCCCTGCCTCCTCTGGCCCATGGTGACTTAGTCCAGAACCAAGCTGAACTTAGTAGCAAGACACCAACCTCTCTTCTCACAGGTCCTTCCTAGGAAGTGTCAGCTTTCCTTTTCTTCTGGACTCTGAGGAATTCAAGAACACAGAAAGCCCAAGGCTAACACATCTCCACTGAAGCTCAGGATTCCTCAAAAACCAAAGCCTGGCCTCAGAAAGCACAGCAGATGTCAACTGCCCACTTTGGAGCCCAAAGTACCTTGGAGGAAGGCATCAGTCCCAATCAGAACACCTTTGGGTAGTCAAAAGATAAAGAGAGTATGACCCCATGGCTGGAACAAGGTAGAACCTCAGACAAGAGGACATCCTGTTCATGAGAGGTTGGCCATCCACTGAAGACACGGTGAGGGGTTGTGAAGGGAGAGCAGACATGAGAAAGGCAGAGCCCCACTCCTTGGTCCCCTGGAGAAAACCAAAGAAAGGGCTGTGATCTATGTGATCAGAGAGGGAGAAACTAAGAGCCTGGGGAACAAAGAAAAGGGCCTCACTCACTCTTCCTGAACAAGTTAGAGAAGAGGATATTTGAGTTAGACATTGAAGAGTGAGCATTTAGAGGACAGAGAAAAGGGAGAAGACCTTCAGATGGTACTAACAAAGCAGTGTGGCATGGAGAGTGAAAGAATGTTCAGCCAGTGGCCAGGCTATAAAGGGTATTTCTCAGGTGCTGTGCTAAGGAGCTTGGCTTCTCCCTCCAGATGCAACGGGGGGCTGTGTAGGCTCCCGAGCAACAGAATGACAGATTAGAACTATGCTTCTGCATCACCATGGAGCATGAACTAGCGAGAGAAGATTCTCGGCCATGTGGGAACCAGTATCCTACAGTTCTAAGAACATCCCACAAGGCAACAGATGCAGTCACTTGAACAGAAGCCTACAGAGCCAGGCCCCCGGTCTTCAGATCCCAGCTCTGCCACTCCCAGGTTGAACAAGTTACTGACCGACCCCATGGACAGTTTTCTCATTTGGAAAATGGGGATGATATCAACAGAGGCCTCTTAGGGCCATTTTGTTGGTTGTGAGTTGGATGAGTTAATGTAAGTAAAGTGCTTAGGACAGTGTCTGGCACACAGTAGGGGCACAACACAAGACAGCTGTTGGGATGACTGCCGTCTCTCTTGTCCCCTTGGTTTCCTCTTCCAGCATCGTCATTTCTTCTGAAAGGTGAGCAGCTACGAATCTGAGCAAGAGTGAGCAGGTTTGAGGCAAGACTTGCTTAGGAGGGCTGGAACTACATCTGAAATAGTTTGGGGTCTGCAGCTTCTTGTTAGTCCCCAGAATCCCTATAACAGGGATGCCCTAAGACTGTGGTCCTCAAACTCCACTGCATAATAGAATCATCTGGGGAGATGTTATCAATCCCAATGCCCTGCTCCCATTTCAGACAAAATCAGAATCTTTGCAGCTGGGGTACTAGCAGCAGGATTTAAAAAATCCTCTAGGCAATTCCAACCTTCAACCCAGTCTTAGAACAACTGATCTAAGAGTCAAATCCAACAGGAAAGGAAAACATGGCAGAGGGGAAAACATCCTCACCCTTGAGTGGTGTCATCTGCAGAAACCACTTCAGCTCATTATGAAGCCTCTCCTCATTACACCTTACAGGGCAACTCGGTGTCACACAGAGCTAACAGACTTGAAAGTTGCCCTGGATCATTAAGTATGTAGCACACCCTTCCAAAGTCTTCTGGAAGCAGGTAAGGGTGGAAAATACAAACAAATACAGCCATGTGGGTAACTGTTGTGGAAAAAGCATTGGGGTTGCGTGCAGACAGCTGGTTCTGGCCTTAGGCTGTTTCATTAATACTATGTGACTTAAAAAGCATGCAACACTTAAGCATCAGTTTCTTCAGTAGTAAAATAAAGATAAAAACTGACTTACCCATTAGATAAGGTGTTTGTGGGGTACAAGCCAGAAGACACAGGTCAGCTGTTGCAAAGCATTTTTATTTAACATGTTTTCTAGGTCTTCAATGGAACATAAAAAGTTTAGGAGAGAGAAATGTCCCCTTAAACATTTTTTTTCAATGAGAGAAGGGAGGAGTCAAGGAGTAGGGTCGGCCGGCCACATGAAAGCTCCCTTCAGAGCAGGCTGCAGTGGTGCCTGCCCACAAGGGGTCCAAGTGGGGCCAGTGATAGGGCAGGAGCTCAGGGTGTGTCCAAGGGCTGCCCCAGCAAAGACGTTAAGATAGGATATGTTATCTGGGAACAATGGAACAACTGTACCGTTGTCCTAAACCTGACTCTGACAAGAGGGGATAAGACTCCAGGAAGCATGTCCCCAAACCACTGGCCAGAGTGGCCCCAACAAACCACTGGCCCATTTGTTCGTTCCTTTATCTACTTACTCATTCATGGACCTTACAGTAGTGTATGTCAACCACATACCAAGAATTGTATGGATGTACAAGATTGTAGGAATGCTGGAATGAATAAGGCTCACTCTGCACCCTCAGGAGGGACAAAGATAAGTAGGGCAAACAAGTGGCATTTAAGTACAACACAATGTGCTAAAGTATAATAAAATAACAAGCATAATAATAGATAGCCACCACTCATTGATGGCCAACTATGCACAGGCACCATACTTGGTATTTTATATTGAGCATCTCAAATCCTTGCTATCTCCTCAAGGTAAGGATCTTTCTGGGGGCAAAGATTGTTGTTGTAAGCATTATTACCTTCATTTAACATTTACTGAGTCCTTATTGTGTTGCAGGCACTGCGCTGAGGTTTTGTTTGTTACCAGTAGGCAGGTAGTAATGATTTAGATTAGAGCATGGGCTCTGGGCCCAGATTTGCCTGTCAGGAGCTGGGTGATTTTGATTAAGTTACTTTACCTTTCTGTGCCTGAGGCTGGGCCTGGAGGTCATCTCCAAAACAGAGACTTATGCATTTAACAAACATTTAGTAGGCACCTACCATTTTCCAGGGAATAAAGCACTTAATAAAATTAACAGAAGTCTCTGCATTCCTGGGGTTCATGAGGGGTTGGGGGTGTCAGACTGTCAACAAACAAATAAGCAAATAACTATATGGTGGGTCAGATGATGATAAGTGCTATGGTGATCAATTAAGACAGGAAAAAAAAAAGGGAAGATGGAGGTGCGAGATGGGTCCTGTCTGCGTAGAGTGGCCAAGAAAGTCTTGTTCAGTAAGATGTTTGGGGCTAGGTGCGGTGACTCATGCCTGTAGTCTCAGCACTTTGGGAGACTGGTTAGCAGGATCACTCGAGCCCAGGAGGTTGACACCAGCCCGAGCAACGTAGTGAGACCCCTTCTCTACAAAAAAAAAGTCAAATAATTAACCGGGTGTGATGGAGAATGTCTGTAGTCCCAGCTACTTGGTGAGGCTGAGGCAGGAGGATCATTTGAGCCCAGGAGGTCAAGCCTGCAGTGAAACATGATTGCCCCACTGCCCTCCAGCCTGGATGACAGAGCAAGACTCTGTCTTTAAAAAACAAAAAAAGACAAGATGTTTGGCCTCTGTGTGTGTGTGTGTGTATATGTGTGTGTGTGTGTGTGTAAGAAATAGTTTGGGAAAATACTTAAGTAATACTATACAGCAGTTAAAAAAGAATAATGTACGTGTACACACACATGTGCACACACAAAGATCTCCAAAATGTAATTATTAACTGAAAAGAATAAGATGATGAAATAATTGATTTCCCCTAGCTCTGAATGCCATGGAGTCCACAGAGCCAGAGACAGTGGGTGGAGGACCCAGGGATCAATCTTAAGGGGCTGGGCTGCTGAGGCTCCTGCCGTCGGCCGTCTCCCTCTATGAGGGAGCGAATGCCATGCCCTCTGTCTAAGTCTCTAGGCAACAGCATCTTGTGACCCAGCTTCCAGTCTGGTTTT